AGTTATGTGTACGCCAACTCAGGGTGTGTGGCAGCCAGCTGGCTGTGTGTCTTGTGAGCTTGTTTGTGTCTGTGTGTCGCTCGTGCGTGTCGTCATCATCTGTCTTGTGTCCACCCATACCGCGTTGGTGTCCAGTCCGAGCCTGGCTGTTCTTCACCTTTCTACCTACCTACTAGACACTCTTCACTCAGCCAACTCGGCTGCCACACGATTCAATGTTCTGCAACTGAGACTCACCCGAGACCTGCAGGCTGCTCGTCAGCACTGCTGCACCAGTGGACACACAGGCAAGCTCACACGCGTGTCTGCTAGGTCGGCGGAGCTTGGTTGATGGGGGCGGCACCGCCCTGCGGAGAGCGGAGAGGGCGGCGCTCGCCTCTCCGGAGTGAGCAGGCGGCAGAGCGGGCGTCAGACACGTGAGCGAGCAGAGTCGGGCGATCGACGCGTGTGCCTGGATCTTTCGCGAGCAGACGGTCGTCGGCGCCGGGAAGACGGGAGAGAACCAAGCGTCCGGCGTGCGAGCGCGGGCTGCGGAGGGCCGGGGTGCGTGTGCCAAGGACGCGACAAATCACCGGTCGCAGCGCAGCCTTGCCCGCCACGCCGTGCCGGCAGACACGCGCGCGGGAGGTGCGGAGCGGGCTCGCGGTGAGTCGAGGTGGCCGAGACGCAGGACCGCCCGTGCGGCGAGGCTCCAGCAAGCGACTGTGCGGGGGGCGAACGGCGTGCGGGTGGGCGGTGGGCCGCGAGAGAGTCACGCAGCGGCGCAGGTGGGGCCGCAGGCTTACCGCAGGCTACGAGGAATCGGGCCGTCGAAGGCAGATACGAGGCGCAGCGAGTGCGAATACAGGAATAACCCGCACGCAACGTGCCGAACCGACCCGCGTGCACGATCGGAGCACCTCTGACGCGGCGCGAGAAGCGCTGAGTTGAGGTGCCGCGGCCCGCGGCTGCAGCGTGTCGAAACGGCGCTTTCGGAGGCGCCGCGGTGGTCGCCGAGCGCGCGGAATCGACGAGAAAATATGACGGCGTGCCGGCCGTGGGCCCGGACGACGGCGCTGGCGAGCCGGACCGAGGCCGCGGCATCACGGTGGCGAGCAGGAGGGGCTTAGGCTGTTTTCACGTGGAAGCGTAGGTGAGCCGAGAACGCTAATCCTGGGTAGGTTTGGCTGGAGTAGGGGCCCTGCACCTCCCCCCACCGAGCCCCCAAAACTGGCACATGCCCGGCCGAACAAAGGCTGGCTCAGCCGGGACCGCGTCCCGGCGCGGATGCGCTTCAACGGCGTCACAGGCTGCGCCGCTCGCGCTGCCGAAAAAGATCCAAGCAGCGGCGGCGAACGGCAAGGTGAGCGTGGTGCAGACGTGGCTCGCCGGGGACGGGCGGGTTGATGCAACGTGCGAGCGCGGTGCGAGTGGCTGTGCGCTCCTGCTGATCGCCGCCGATCACGGTCACAAGCAGCTGGTCGAGGTTCTGCTGAAGCGGGGCGCGAAGCCGGATGCGCAAAACAGCAAAGGCCTTGCGGCGCTGATTGCCGCCGCCCACCAAGGCCACGTGCAGGTGGTCGAGACGCTGCTGATGCACGGTGCAGAGGTCAACCTGCAGGAGAGCGGCGGCTACACCGCGCTGATCGTCGCCGCCCAACAAGGCTACGTGCAGGTGGTCGAGACGCTGCTGCAGCGCGGCGCGGAGACCAACCTGCAAACCAGCGGCAGCGCCACCGCGCTAATGTTCGCCGCCCACCACGGCCACGTGCAGATGGCCGAGACGCTGCTGCGGCACGGGGCGGAGGTCAACCTGCAGAACAGCCTCGGCCGCACCGCGCTGATGTTCGCCGCCGCCCAAGGCCACGAGCGCGTGATCGACTCGCTTCTACGGCACGGGGCAGAGTTCGACCTGCAGGAAAGCGACGGCTACACTGCGCTCGCGAACGCCGCCTGCTACGACCGCCCTGCCGTCGTGCTCCAGCTTCTGCGGGCGGGCGCAGACATGGCGCTGCGCACTGCGGACGACAAGACGGCACTGCAGATCGCCAAACAGAAGGGCCACACTGAGTGCGTCGCCGCCGTCAAGACGTTTCTCGGCGAGGTGGCGGCGGCGAGGCGCGGCGCGGCGGCGGTCGAGGCGGGCGGCGAGGGCGGCAGCAGCGGGCCTGTTCCCGAGGACATCGGCGAGGCGGGCGGCGCGGGGGCGGACGGCAGTGCCGCCTCGGGCAAGGGGGCGGCGGCGGCACCAACTGCCTCGTCCTCTTCTAGCGGCATGGAGAGCGGAACGGGCGAGGACGCCGTCCCCGACGAGATCGTGGAGGCGGCTATGCAAGGCGACGAGGCGGTGCTGGCGTGGCTCGACGGCGGCGGGCGGGTGGACGCGACTTTCACTCATAAGGGTGTGAGCGGCATTACGCTGCTGATGGGCGCCGCCTTCTACGGCCACGAGCGGCTGGCCGTGGCGTTGCTGCAGCGTGGCGCTTCGATCAACCTGCAGGACAGCGTCGGCCTCACCGCGCTGATGTTCGCCGCCCAGGAAGGCCACGAGCGGGAGGCCGAGCTGCTGTTGCAGCACGGCGCGGAGATCAACCAGCAGGACAATGACGGCGAGACCGCGCTGATGTTCGCCGCCAGCATGGGACACCCCGCTGCTCTCCTCTGCCTGCTGCGGGCGGGCGCCGACACGAAGCTTCGCACGGTGAGTGGACACACGGCGCTGCAGATTGCCAAGGAGGGGGGCAACGCCGAGTGCGTGCGCGCTCTCGAGGAGCATGCGGCGGCCGTGGCAGCGGCCGAGGCGGTGGCGAAGAAGGCGGCGTGGGCTGCGGGGGCGGCGGAGAGGGCGGCGGAGCGGGCGGTGGCGGAGGCGGAGGCGGCGCGGCACGCCGAGGAGCTGCTGGCGGAGGTCGAGGCGGAGAAGCGCGGCAAGGGCAAGAAGGGCAAGAAGAAGAAGAAGAAGGGCGGCGGGAGCGGCGGCGCTGGGCCGTCGCAGGAGTCCGAGGCGCCGTCAGAGGCAGCCGCAGCCAAGCCCGCGAAGCTGGACAGGGAGGGATTGATCAGGCTTCTCGAGACGCTCCACGAGGAGCGGATTCGGTACGGCATCACGGCGGAGACGTCGGTCGAGGGGTTGGCCGAGGCGTTGGGAGAGGAGGCCGAGGCGGCGAGTGAGGGGAGCGAGGAGGAGACAGCGGAGGCGGGTGAGGAGGCAGCCTTGGTGGCAGCGGAGGCGCGCCGGGAGGCGGAAGCCGAGGCGGACGCTCTGACAGCGGCAGAGGAGGAGGCGGCCGCGGCGGAGGAGGAGGCGGCCGTTGCGACGGCGCAGGCGGCAGCAGCGGCAGGTGCAGCAGCGGCAGCAGCGGCGGCGGCAGAGGCAGCAGCAGCGGCGGCAGAGGAAGCAGCGACGACGGCTGAGGCGGCGGTCGCTGCCGCCAAGGCGAGGCGCGCGTCAGCGGCCGCTGAGAGGGCCAGGGCGGAGGCGGCCTAGCCGCGCGCAAAAAGGACGCAGCGCAGTGGCGACCGGGGCCCTTAGGGGGGGGAGAGGGAGGGAGGGAGGGAGCGTAGTGCTACACTGGAGGGATTCTCTGGGTCTGTGCGGGTCCCGACTCACTCTCTGACTCGTTTGTGACTGAGAGAGCTCGGCCTCGGGGCGTGCAGTGATGAGAGTATCTCGTCTGCTCGTGCGCTGTTCTGGGGAGAAGGCGCTGCTGCGGTTACACACCGGTTCGGTTGCGAAAAGAATTATTAACGACGGCCACCCCGCGCCCAGAACGCGGACGCAGCGCGGACGCGCGACGAACCGCTCAATGCGCCTCTTGCCACTCTCGAAACTCTGCCGGCGCAGCGCGTGGTTTGGGAAGGTGTGCATGTGCTGGAGCGCCTCGCCCGTCATCGGGCTCGTCGACTTGGTCGCGAGCCAGCGCTCGATCTGCTTCCGCTCGTAGGAATGGCCGTCCGCCGCCGGCATCACCGGGTCGCTCATCACCTCGGTCGTGATTGGGCAGATGAAGTCGGACCCCCAAGAAGTGGCTGGCCTTCTTCTTCTCCTCGTGTGGCTCCGCCAGCTGGAGGCGGCGTTGCCCGCCTTGCTCGTCGGCCGGGCCTGCGATCCGCGAGCAGGCGATCCCCCTCCCCTCGAAATCGTGCACAACGAACGTCCTTCCGTCAATCTGGTGCGCAGGGAGGCCCGTCAGAACGGTGAACTCGCCAAAGGTGAAGTCGTCCGTCGTCTTGTAGACGATCGGCGCTCACGGGTCGAAGGAGCCGTCGCTTCGCGACGCGTTGAAGAAGTGGCCGAGCGCGTCCTCTTTGCACGAGCCACCTTGGTGGATGTGGAGACCGCACGAGTTGTGTGCGTCGCCGGCACCGTCCTTGCACCCCGAGTCCACGCCCGAGAGCATGAACGTGAAGGTCTGAGACGCGACGCTTGAGCGTCGTCCGAGGTGATCAGGCCGACGGTGCCGCTCACCTCGGCAAGCGCGCCGAAGGTACCGTAACGCTAATAGAGTCACCTGGCAGTCCGCCTGCGGACCTCCTCACGCCAAGGCTGACCGCTGCGCCTCGTCGCACCTCTCCGCCTGTCTCTCCACCCGCTCCTCCGCCCGCCGTCTCTCGAGCGAGCGAGCGCCTGCAGCGCCGCAACGGGGGCCGGGGGGGCACATCGTTTTTATTGAGCTTAGCCTTCGATGTTATGAATTACCGTTATAATTGTAACGTCCGGCGGTCGCCGCCATTGGGCGCCCGCCGCAACCCGGAGGCATGCCGATCGCTTTCGTCGCCGTGGCACGACACACACCTCACGCCTCTGTGTGCTGCCCAATGCGCGGAGAAGGACGAGGGTGCGGCCGGGAGATGCTCACGCTGTGCCTGTGGCCCGTTTGGACACCTCATTGTCAAGCAAGGATGTCAATGGCGCCGCGCCGGGCGATCGCGACAACTGTGGACGCGCGGAGACGATTCTGAGTTCGCGCGTTCTCACGGCTGAGCCGAGTGAGGCCGAGCGGTGTTTAGAGGCTGCGCGCCTCCGTTGGCGTAGCCGACGTCGATGCCGATGCACGACATACCCGAACACGGCGAGGGGAGAGCGGAGAGAGCCGCGCGAGTGCAAGCGTCTCGTGGGCCTAGATGCTTCGGTGCTGCGCTGTGAAGAAAAAGAGGAGAGGTCCAAGTTCCCGACTTCTTTGGACTTTGCCGATGTTTGTGCTAGGTCGTAGGTGTGGCACAGCTGCATGACGATATACTCCTCACAACAGTCCCACGGTGGGCGCGTAGCCTGTGCGACTCACTTTCTTCCAGGGCTCGAACACTAGGGCTCGAAACATTCGAGCAACCCGGTCGCTGTGCCCAAAGGTTAGTCTTTGGCGCGCAGCGCGACGGACGACCAGGGCGGGGATGCGCGTCTGCTGGCGGTATTTTTCCCTTCTTTGAAACGACTGAAACAGTTTTTTTTTTGACTAATTTTGGCCAGATCCGGGATCCGCGAGACCTCGGGCCGCTCGGCACGATGTGTCCATGTAGGCATGTTTGCCGTAGCAGTTACTTTGTCTTCAACCTAATGCACGCTTCGCCCACTCAACAGCCTGCTATGTGGGCGCGCAGCGCTTGACTCACTCCTTGCAGAGCCCCCCCCCCCCCCCCCCCACACACACACACCCACCCCCTACCTACCTCCCCGCAGCTCCCGTCTCCACCCTGACTGAGCCGGATGATTGGCTGCATGCAAGCAAGTGAGTGAAGAGAAGAGAAAGAAGGTCGCCAAAGCGCTCGGACGGCTGCAGTGGTCGTGAGACAAGAGTATAGTGCGCGTGAGCCGTGAGCCCTATATTTTGCTGAGCCAGAGTGTCCGCGAGGGCCAAACAGAAAAAGAAACACACTCTGCAGTGAACACCACACACCACACCCAAAGCCGTACCATCCAGCATGTCCATGCGACTCGCCGACAAGGACACCGTGCAGCTGCGCTTCCCCGTCGGGACGCGCGTGGAGTGCAACTGCGGTGTGTGGAAGGCCGGCACGATCGTGCGCCACTTCTACACGCAGCGAGACTTTGACGATGGCAAGTGCGTGCCGTACCAGGTCCGGCTCGACGATGGCAAGCTCATCTTCGCGCCTAACGACGAGGACTCTGTGGTTCGGCTCCTCGAACAACAGCCCGGTGGTGGTGGCAGCCGTCGCAGGGCGAAGAAGGCGCCGGTGCTGCCGCAGGGCGCGAACGAGCCGTCCCGCTTCAAGGTCGGCGACAAGGTCGAGGTCAAGATCAGCCGCAACTCAGAGCCGGGCTCTCCGCGTGGCGTCGAAATGATCAGCGCGCACAGCATCGCTGGCGGGCGCTGGGTTCCGGCCAAGGTCGCCGCCCTCCGGTACGCCCAGGACGACTGGTGTCCCGGCTTCTACTGCGCGTATGCCGTCCACGTGCACGGGGACATGACGCCCGACGGCATTCAGTACGCGACGCCCGTGCGCGAGGACGACGAGCGCTGCATCCGCGCCGCGCCAGTCGCGCCTCCGCCGCCTCCGCCGCGCTTTGAAGTCGGCCGGCGGGTGGAGTGCAACGGCGGGCAGCTCGGGTGGCGGGCGGGGGTCGTGTGCGAGGTCTGGCCCGAGGCGCCCTCGGGGGTGCGGATGCCCTACCGTGTGGAGCTCGACGGGGGCGGCACAGCGCTCATCCCGCACGACGAGGACCTCCCTGCCTTAGATGCGGCATCCAGATCGCTGTCTCCGAGTGATCGCTGTCTCCGAGTGATGCGGCCGCGCCGAGGCTGCCGACGTCGCATTCGACGGCCCTCACCGCCCTCCTCTGTCTCCTCGCCCCGCAGGACCTCGGCATCCGCGCGGTGCACGTGGTCGAGTGGGGCGCCGGGCACGAGGCGTGGGACGACGCAAAGGGCGTCGAGGCCGCGTACGACCTCCTCACGGCCGGCGCGCTGCGGGACAAGAGGGCGCTGCCGAGGGTGGGGCTGTGCGGCGACGCGGCCGCCGTCGACGCGCTGGGCGACGCGGTGGCGGCGTGCCCCTCCGAGGCGCGGCGCGTCGCGCTGATGCTCGAGCAGGTGCTCGCCATGTCTCCCCATATCTCGCCATATCTCCCCGTATCTCTGATGCTCGAGCAGGTGCTCGCCACCGCCGAGGAGGCGACGCCGCGCCACCCTCTCGTCGGGAGGCGTGTGCGCGTGCACGGGCTGTCCGGCAGCGCCGAGCTCAACGGGCAGCGCGGCACGGCGGTCCGCTACGCGCCCGAGCGCGAGCGGTACGAGGTTCGCCTCGATGACGGGCAAGACGGCAAGAGTGGGACGGTCGGAGTGCGCGACGTCAACCTCTCGCCCGAGGAGGATCCCATGGTGGGCGCCTCGCCGCCGCCGCCCTCTTCGCTGCCCTCGAGACAGCTCGCGACACAGCGTCATCGAGCGCGCCCCTCGCCCCCCTCTCTCCTTCCCCCGCCGCCTCTCCCCGCTCTGCTGCCCTCACTGCGTCACGCGCCTCCCGCCTCCCGCTCCGCCGCTTGACTCGCCACCGCCGCCCTCACTGCCCGCCCCCCCACCTCCTCACCCGAGGTGACTTGCCCGATCTGCATGGACGTGCGGCTCACCGACCCGCTCGGCCCGGCGCGCAAGGGCCCGGGCGAGGGCAGCGCGACGGTCACTCTCTGCTGCGGCAAGGTCGTGTGCAAGGAATGCCACGACAAGTATATGCTCGGCGGCATGGACCGCGAGGCGCAGACCTTCCCGCCGTGCCCCTTCTGCCGCGAGCCCACCGGGTACATGGACGAGCACGCCGACAAGCGGCTCGAGCGCGATCTGCTCAAGCGGCGCGCCACGCACGGCGACCCTCTCGCCATGTACAACCTCAGCGGCTCCTTCGACAAGGGCCACCACGGGCTGCCCGTCGACTACCAGGCCTCCGCTCCACCTAAACGCCACCCGCGAGCCCTTAAACGCCACCCGCGAGCGCTGCATGCGGCGCACCTGGCCCCAGCCTCTCGCGCGTTCGCCGCAGGCATCCCTCGCGTGGGCGGCACTCGCGGCGATGGTCGGAGGCCACGTGCGCGCGATGAACAACGTGGGCTTCGCGCTCAAGGAGGGCGAGGGCATCCCCGCCGACGCGCGCCGCGCCGCGCGCTGGTTCGCGCGCGGCGCGGTGCTCGGCCACATATCGTGCGTCTGGGCGCTCGGCAAGGCGTATGCGGACGGGGCTGGCGTCGCGCGCGACTTCGCCGCGGCACGGCGGTGGCTCAAGCGCGGCAAGCTGATGGGCGACTCGCCGTGCGCCGTCGACCTCAGCCGGCTGCCGGCGCCGCACGGCGAGGAGCTGGGCGGCGGCGGCGGCGCGTCGTCGCCCGGAAGCTTTCACATGCCGCCGCTGAGCACGATGCCGCCGGAGCTCGTGCAGATGATGATGGGCAGTCCGGGCATGCGCTGGCCATGAGGCTTGCCCCCGGACTCCTCGTCACCTCTGCCTGCCTCCGCCCTCGTCGGTCGCTACGAGCGGTGAGACGGCCTTGGCCGTGACGCAGCTCCGTCGGATTTGCGGTCGGCGTTTGTCTTACAGTTCGTTGTGAAAATGGTGTACCTGTGTTAGTGCCAGTGCGCGCCAGTCTTCCCGTGCCTAGTCAGCCGTGTCGTCGTGAGACAGAGTTGTAAAATTCTTTTTTACACACAGCTGAAAGGTGAAGCAAAGGCAAGGAGCTTGAGAGGGGGGGGCGAGAGAGAGAGAGAGAGAGAGAGAGAGAGAGAGAGAGAGAGAGTACGTCCACCGAGCTGGAGTGTCGACACTCACTCCGTGTCCACCGCGCTCGAGCCGTGCTGCTCCACGAGCATATCTGAGCGGTCCTGCGGATGGTATCCACATCTTCGAAATCATCTTCGGGGTTGCCCTAGTCCTGCGACTCGGTGGAGTCGTGGCCGTTCACGGAGTTGCGCCTGTTTTGTGCCGCACGGCGTAGCATTTTGTCGACGTGACCCACGCTATGATTGCTGCCGCCGCCGTTGCTGTTGCTAGCCAGGGCAGTGCTGGGTCTTGGTGAGGGCGTATGTGCGCCGACATCCCTGCTGGCAACGGGACTGAGACTCTTTCCTCGGACAATCTCATCGCGCAAGGACGAAGGCAGCGATGAGGTTGTCGGTCGCATTGGAGGAGCAGATGGGGCCTGCATTGCTGGCGGCGGTGGCCGTGGCGGGGTCGCGATGGTGGGCGGCGTGAGGACGGGCATCGTGCTGCGGACAGCGTCTGCGCCAGAGTTGTTGTCCGCCCCCGCCTCCGCCGCTGCCCCCTCACCTTCCTCTGTAACTGCGGGCTTTGGCACCGCGGGCTCTGTCGCCGCGGGCTTTGGCGCCGCGGGCTTTGGCGCCGCGGGCTTTGGCGCCGCCTCCGCCGGCGGAGGGCGGGGCACCGTGGAGGGCGGACCGGCGGCGCCGCCGCTCAGCGCAGAGGTTGGGGCGGAGGGGTCAAAGGGCACATACAGGGCCGAGCTCGGATCTCCTTCCGCAATACCCCGCTCCCACCCATGTGGCACGCTGTCGGTGTTGATGCTGAGCTGGAAGAAGATGTCGCAAACCGCCTCGTCGACCTGCCGCTCCGCCTCCGGAGGCATTGTAGTGACGGAGAAGATGCACGACTTCACTGGATCGAAGTATTCAAACACGAAAGCGCCCATCGGCCACTGCTCGCTAGAGACCGTCGCCGTGAAGTCCTCGCCGGGCTGGGTAGCGGAGGATGAGGAAGGGTCGGCGACACGGGGCGAAGGCGAGAGAGATCGTCGGCCGATGTGAGCGCTCAGAGATACAGCTCACAAGAGAGAAGGACAGAGGAGCGGTGGGGGGACTAGCTCCTCTCACCATGATCCACCCAAAGCGCTTCACCCCGTAGGAGATGAGGAAGCCGATCGTCGGCGTGCGGAGGCGGTCCTGCTCGGCCATGCGCGTGATGAGTGCCTCGTTAGCAGGTCCAGCGGCCTCGAAATACAACCCGTGGCCGGGAAGCAGCACGTTCGCACCAACCACCTTATGGTACGCGTCGACGTACACGAAGCCACCGAAAAGGATCAGGCTGCTCTCCGCCGAGGCTTTCTTCTTCACTGCCCCAGGCAGAAGCGCGTACAGCCGCTCTCGGAAGCCGCGCCCCGGCTTGTGGAGCTCATCGCGCCCCGTGTCGTCGCTCAGGGCGATTCCGTCCAGGGGATAGACAAACGCGAGCGAGCTTGCATTCTCGGGGACATTCGCAGCCCTCCGCTCGGCCGCAGACAGCTTGACCGGGGAGAAAGGGGAGATCCTCCCTCTCGGCCTCACCCAAGGCATCGCCCTGCGCACAGCACGGAGCGCCCAGCACGATAAGTTGACCGTGTAGCGACCCTCCTGATCAATCTTGAGCTCGATCGCCTCCGTGCTGATCGGCTTCAGCTTGATCGGGCCGAACCTGGTGAGCTCGCGCAGCTCGTAGTACTTGGTGCAGGGAGGGAACGGAGGCACTGGGGCGTAGGGAAAGGAGCGGCCGCAGAAGAAGCCAGCAAGGAGAAGGCCGAAAACGAGCGTCAGAAGGAGGAGCTGCTGTTTGGCAGCGTGCTCGAGCTCATCCATACCGTCTGGTGCTTCAGCACACAAAAGTCTGACAAAGGCCTGGTGTAAGACCGTGAGCCAACTGTGGGCGAGAGCAATTGGCGTGTCCTCGCCAAAGTGGCGTGCTGCTAGGCATGAGCGTGGCTGCAGCGCCGACGACGACATCCATGAGAACGGCACCCAAAAGTGGCTCATGGGTGTCGGCTGAATGGCTGAGGTTGATCCAACGCCGACAGGCAGGTGCGAACAAGGGAGCCGCGCCAGGGGTTGCCGCTCCCTTACGGTTACTCTTGCATTTGACGTTCAAAGTCGGCGGATTCTTGCGGACCCTCAACTCCAAGCACCCGGGACGCAAGCACGCTCGCCTTTTGCTGAGGCGGTCACGTGGTAGGTTATCTCGCCACGCGCTGCGGCCGCTGATGGTCGCTGCAGATCTGTCTGTTTGGTTGCCCGCTGAAAGAATGAAAGAATGGATGGTTTGTTTGTCCGAGGAGGCCACCGGCCAAAAGCGCATGTCTTGAAGGTCCGATACTGGAAGCCCATATAGGCACCTTACACTCCCCCGCAGTATCGCACCTCTTGAGCGACACTGCGTTTCCGCAGCTGGGGATTCTCCGGGTACCCCTCTTTGTACCCGTGCTGGCCGGATTCCTCCTCCGAACAACTCAAGTTCGATCGGCCCCAGTCTCGAACTGGCAGCCACTATCTCACCGGAGGTACCATGTCCGAAGAGGCTAGATACTGGAAGCCCATATAGGCAGCTTACATGGTTGGTTGGTGGCGACGGCGGCGGCTATCGTGCTGCGGCCGTTATGGCACAACCTACTGGGTTCCGGCTCCTACCCAGATAGGGGGTCTGTTGACACTGGCTGGCCCCTATGCAATAGGTAGGTAGGTCCGATTTTGACCGCCCCAGAGGGCCCCGCAAAAGGTAGGTAGGTGGTGGTGGTGGGGTGGGGGTGGGGGTGTTGGGGGGGAGGGATAAAAAAAACCGCTTCGCTCGCGCGGGAGACGGCTAGCCGCGAACGGGCCATGCCAGACGAGCGAGGAGTGGAAGAATTCCACAAAAAGAACTCTCCCGCACAGCACACAGGTTCGACATACCAAAAGAAAAAGAATTTTACAACCCAAGGCGGTCGCGCACGATTCACACACACTTCCGGTATACGTGCACGGGCAAAAGCAAGAGCACCAGGCCAGAGCAGACCGGCGCGGGGCCAGTGCTCCTCCTTCGGCTCCTCGCTGAGTGCGGTGCCGGGGTAGTGAGCAAGGAGGAGCACTATAGGCCTCGCCCCTCGCCGCCTCGCTTTCCCACTCGTCCGAATTTGTCCGAATCGCTACACGTCCATGTCCTCTCCGCCGCTGCTATCCTCTCCGTCAGAGGAAGCGGGCCCACTGGGCGTGGGCGGCCGGGCTCGACCACACCTCGATCTTCTTGGGCAGCAGCTGGTTCGACAGGTCCTCTCCCTGGCCTAGGCTGCCGCTGCCGCCCTTGCCCACCATGGAATGTATGCTAGGGAGAATGCGCGCACTCTCCACACATGCCTAGTATTGCGAACCCTTTTCGACGGGCTGTTTCTTGCCGCTGTAAGGCCCATCAAACTTGTTGAAAATCTTGTGGACGAAGTCGAGCTGCTTGTTGAAGATCATGATTGGCGCGAACTCTTCGGGTTCGACGCGCCGCCACGGCACGGTCGAGTTCCACACCATGTAGCTGCCCAGCTCGTTGAAGACGTGCGGCATGCCCGCGACCGGGAGCACCTATGCCACCCAACATGTTAGCTCGGGACGCGCTCTCGAGGAGAGGGAGGAGGCGCCGCTCTCGCAGGGACATCGTCGCGCTCAAGAACAGGATGCATCAGCTTGTGCCCAGCACCTTGCGCATGCATCAGCTTGTGCGCCATCTCCGTCACCGTCGAGCCGATGAACTCCCCCGAGAAGGGCTTTTTGTGAAGCACCTGCAAACAGGCCAATTCTAAATCCACCAGACGTCATCGAGTGTCGAGGCTAAGTTGAGCCCACATCGAGACGATCGTGAAGCGGGCCCACATCGCCCGTGAAGCTCTTTTGGCCCTCGTACCCATAGCCCCACGAGAGCTGCACGCTGCCCGCCCGGAGCTTGTGGAGCTGCTCGTACGTCGCGTTGATCGGGTTGGCGAGGGCCTGCTTCTCGATGAGGGCCTTGTCTGCCCCGGCGGGGTAGAAGGAGCTCGGGACGCCGCTGATCTTTGTATGCCACGGCTCCTTGCTGCTCGGGTACTTCATGTCTGAGTAGTAGTTGCCGCGCTCGTCGGCCGTGGCGTACGCCTCAGAGGGACAGAGGGGCAGGGGCAGAGCCGTGAGCCCTCGTAGCGGGAGGGCGTCTCTTACAAGGGGAGGCGAACCTTTGCAAATGCGCCCTCGGCGTCACCGAGCAGCGGGATGAAGCCCTTGCCCTGGATCGGGTCCCCCTGCTTGTACGCGCCGTAGGTGCCGACGGTCTTGTCGTTGGCAGGATCGCCGTTGTACATGTCCTCCGGGCGCGCCTCGCCGACCTTGTCAAAGCCGCCGATGTTGGCGCTGTTGATCGTCTTGGACGGCCATGTGGAGAATTGCAGAGTAGAAGCAGAGAGCACAAAGGTGGCCGGGTTCGGGTCGACCCACGGCGACTGCAGCACAATGCCGCCGGGGGCCATCGACTCCCAGTACGACGCGTCCTTCGGTTTCCCGATGATCGTGTGCATGTCGCAGTGGTTGGTGGCGTTGATGGCGGTGCCGAGGCAGAGGTTGCCGCCCGCAGAGTCGCCCATCAGCACCACGTTCTCCGGCCTGACAGAAGGGGTGTGGGGAGGGAGGGGCGGAGTCCGCCTCTCTCACTCTCCCCTCAGCCTCTCTCACTCTCCCTCCCCAGCGTCTCTCACTCTCTCTCCCACGCGCCGTTGAGCGGGATTGACTGCAGCGTCACGACCGAGCCGCAGCAGCAGCACGGAATGAGGCTGCAGCACGGGAAGGCGCGCGGGCACCCGGCGGTGGCCGGGCACTTGCCCGTCTCAATCAGCCCGCACAGGCCGAACAGGGCGCACCAGTCGACGCAGCCGCAGTCGGTCATGACGTTGACGATCAGCTGTTGCGTGTACTTGGCGAGGAGGCGCGAGCCGTTCCGTTCCTTCTTGTGATGGCTGGCGTTCTCAGTGTAGGCCTCGTACCCGAACACGGTGGGCGCGCTCGCCGCGACAGACACGAGCGCGCGCTGCGCCCACACGTTCAGGGAAGAACAGCGCTCGTTTGGGTCGCGGCACTGGCAGCAGCAGCAAGGGCAACGGAAAAAGTCGCACTGCTCGGGCGGGACGCAGGCGCCGCACCGAGCAGAAGGCTCGCAGAACGGCGTCCCACCGCCGGCCGCGGGCTTCTCGTTCCGGATCTGAATGGGGACGCAGGACCAGCAGCAGCCCGGGCAGCCGCAGCCAAAGTTGTACATTGTCAGATACAACGGGTAGCAGCAGATGGGCGCTTGCCCGCTCCCGAACCCGCAGCACCATGGCTGGATCGCCGACGTGTCCACCGCCACCGCGTGCTTCATGTACGGGTATTTGGCGTAGATGCCGTCGCTCTTCGGCTTTATCTTGAGCCCAAAACCGGCAGTGAGAAAGCAAAGCCCGTTGCAGCAGGCAATGCAGCCCTTGATTCCCCCACAGCAGCACGGAGCGTTCTGCATGATCGAGTCGCCCTTCGTGAAGATGCCGTCGGGAAAATCGGCCTCGTTGAAGTCGTATGCGTACTCGAAGATTGAGTATTCGTGGATAGGAGGGATGTCCAATCCTCGCGCCATCTCTTGCGTGCTCGGGGCGGCCGCCATTCGCTGCCGGAGCGACGCCAGGTAGGCGGGCGAAGGTTTCGGCTGCTGAGGAGGCAACGGCATCATGCTGCGCCTCGGCAGGAGGCAAGGCAGGGAGCGTCCTGTAGGAGGCTGCAGCGATGGGTCTCAATCAGCTGGTTTAGAGCGGGGTTTCTTTTTCCTTTAACTAAAGCTTCGCCGCCCTCTACTTGTGGGAGAAAAGGCCGCCGCGGACTAGGTCAAGCCCAGGGTGGCGTGGTGTTTTTCTTGTCTTGCGGTGTGAAAAAAAACAAAAGAAAAATAAGGAGACCGCGATCGAAATCACACAGCTGAAGTGTCCTTGCTCGTCATGATGCTGCTCCTCTCAGGAGGCTCAGGAGGCACGCCGTCGCCTGCGGCGCCAGTGGCGTCGCCGCTGGCGCCTGTGCCTGCGGCGCCTATGGTCGCCGGGTGTTCTGGTTTGGAACACTGCGCCGATTCGGCTGAGTCGCTGCGCTCGCTGGTACATAACGCCTCTGGTGACGCGATGCTCATCCGGCTGCCAGAGGGCGCAAACATAGACCTCGGCGGCTACGCGCTCGAGCTTCGAGGCAGCGTGGCCCTTCGCATCGAGTCGTCTGGCTTTGGTGCGTGGTTGGACGCCGGCCAGCGCTCGCGGGTGGCGAGCGTGAGGGACGGCGCTTCCCTCAGCATTGTCAACGTGCACCTCGCCCACGGCCGGGTCGAGGATGCGTCCGGAGGATGCATCCTCGTCGAAGATGGAGGTACGCTGCGCATGGAGAAGTCGGTTCTCCTCGGCTGCGAGGCGGTGGCCTCTCGCCCAATCGACCCGGGCTTTCCGGAGATCAGGGGCGGCGTGGCGGCGGCCGATGCTCACGGCGGCACAATCGCCTCACTCGGTTCGGCGGTGGAGTTGATCGACACGCGAATAGAGAGGTCGCTGGCCGTCGACGGCGCGGCAATCTTCTGTCTCGGTGGCAGCCTCTCGCTCTTGCGCTCCACAATCCGCGACTCTGCTGCGTCGCGAGAGGGCGGCGCGATTGCGCTGGTCTCTGCGTCAAACGCCACGCTGCGCGGCGTCTCGCTCGACAACAACACCGCCTTTCTGGGCGGCGGCGCCCTGTATCTGGCCGACGCGTCGCGTTTAATGCTGGTCGACTCCTTCGTCACGCGCTGCGAGGCGGGCACGGTTGGCGGCGCGCTGATGTTGGAGGGCGACGCCACCGCGGTGCTTCGCGACAGCCGCGTCGATCTGTGCTCGGCCGCGACGGGCGGCGGGGCGGCGGTTGACGCTTCCCGGCTCGAGATGCACAACTCGTCCATGACGTCTAACCGCGCGAGCGAGAATGGCGGCGGGATTAGCATCGCGGGCGGCGGTATGGGCTCGGTGTGGCTCGTCGACTCGCTGATCGAGGACGCGGTGGCGCTCAAGGAGGGCGGCGGGGTCTTTGTCGAGGGCGGCGTGCTCCTTCTTGAGCGCTCGCAGATCCTGCGCTGCGCCACTCACTACGATGGCGGCGGTATGGCGGTGCTGGCCGGCGGCGCGGCCGAGCTGCGCGAGAGCACCGTCGTCGAGTGCGCCGTCCACGAGATCCGCGGCAAGGGCTCCGCCCTCTTCGTCAACTTTGGCGCCAGCGTCGTGCTGCGCCGCACCCGCATCGAGCGCTGTGACTCGGCGATGTACGGCACCGTCTACGTCGGAGGCCGCCTCACCCTCGCCTCGTCGGCGATTGCGCACTGCGTGGCGCGCGACATCGGCGGCTCAGGGAGTGATTACGCGTCGCGCCGCGGCGGCGTCGTCTGGGTAGTGCACGGCGGCGTGGCCAGACTCACCGACTCGACCATCGACGACTGCCACACATACGACGCCTCACCCACGTGGCACTCCTCGATGACGCTCCGCGCTCGCTCTCGCCGCCTCGCCGCGCCGCCCGAGCCGTCGTTCGCGCCCGTATCGGTCGACCCGCATGGCACTCTGTCGCTGGCCAACACGGTCTTTAGCAACTGCACCGCCCAGACGGGCGCCTCGGCCGTCTTTGTTTCGGCGGAGGCCCACCTCCGCACGGCGATGCTCTCGCTCGAGCTGCCCTGCCTCGCTGGCGTGCCGCCCGCCATCCACGCCGACCGAGGCGCCGACCTCTCCATCCGAGCGCTCAGCGTCTCGCAGCCCGACAACTGCCGCCGGGCCCCCGCGGAGCTCGCCGCGTCCGCCGTCTCGGGCGCTGCGGCTACTCTCGGCGCCGGCGTTAGCCTCGTCGGCGGCGAGCAGCCTGGGGCGGGCGAGGCGCCGGCCTCCCTCTGCTCGGCGGGCACGTGCGCCACAGACGCCGCGTGCACGGCCGACTACGAGGCGATGGCGGACGCGCTGATGGTGACGGCGCGCTGTAGCTGCGAGCCGCCGAACCTCCCCTCGCCGGAGGCGGCATCGGCCGAGCTCGCGCCGTACGAGGGAGGCTGCCTGACGCCGCGCGAGGGCGTGACAGTCTCGGTGCCGCAGGCGGTGGCGGAGAACGTCGTGATCGAGTTGTCCAAGACGTCGCGCCCCGAGACCGCCAACCGCACCATCGTGCTGCACATGGGCGGGTCCTCTTCTGCCGAGGCGAGCAGCCACCTGCCTGGGGAGGGGGGGGGGGCGGGGTCCCACGCCGCGTCCGTGACGTGTGTGTCCACGCCGCGTCCGTGACGTGTGTGTGGCACGTCCTGTAGGCGGAGTGGACGTGAAGGCGGGAGGGACAGGTCCAAGACACGTCCACGACATGTCCGAGACATGTCCTGTAGGCGAGGTGGACGGTCGACGAGGGCGCGCTGCCTCCGTGGCTCTCCGTGTGGCCAACCTCGGGCGTACTGCCCGCGGGCGTCGACAAGGCGGCGCTCTTCACCGTGAGCGCCTCCTCGGCGCACGTCGCCGAGCAGTCCGAGCCATACACCGCCGCCATCAACTTGACGGTCTCGTCGCAGCGCACAAAGCTGTTTCGCGTGCCCGTGCTCGTCATCGTCGCGGTCACCACGAGCGCGAAGCACTCGATGTGGGGCGAGGCGCGGCCGACCGAGGAGGGCAGCTTCGAGTGCGAGCGCGCCGACGCGCCCCCGCCTGTCGAGCTCGAGGTGGGCGAGGAGCGCGAGGTGGTCTTCACAGCTTGCGACTCGGAGGTGCGCCGCGACTCGCCGAGACTCGCCAAGATTCTCTGCCCTCCGCTCGCTCCGGCGCCAACCGCCGCTTATTCACCTCGTAGGGGCTCCGCGTCGCCCACTCGCTGCCGTCGCTGCGCTCGGAGGCGGTGGCCGCCGCCGGGCCGAACGCCTTCCACGTCGAACTGCACGACCGCGAGGGTCTTCGAGCCGCACGACCGGCGGAGATGCTGTACGCCTACGTCTCGCTCGGCAGGTACAAGGCGACGGTGGCTTCGCCTCTTGTCGGTGACCTCGACCTGCTGCTCTACGTCGACGGCGCCCTGGTCGACTCTCGCCACGTCGTGGCGCGCTGCCCGCCGTACCTGGTCCCGCTGCCCGACCGCTCTTGCGGCTGTGACACGAACCTCGAGCCGGTCGGCGGGCTCGCAGAGTCGCAGGGCTGCCGCCCATGCTACATGGGCTACCACAAGGGGGCGCCTGGCAACGGGTCGTGCCAGCCCGACACGTGGCCCATCATCGTCTCTTCCGTCGGCGGCGCACTCGGCCTCGTGATGATCCTAGTGCTCGTCATCTTTGCGCGTCGCATCTACCAGCGCCACCTCCTCGCCATGGCGGCCGCCGAGCGAGAGGGCGCCGAGAAGCGGCGCCGCATCCAGGAGGCGGTCAAGGGCGTGACCAGCCTCAAGTTCCCACTGTCGGTGATGCCGCTCTCCAAGCTGCGCGAGCAGGGCCGGCTGATGCCGTACGAGGAAGCGCGCGACGCGGGCGTCCTGCGCTGCTGCGACACCATGGAGGCGGCCGTCAGCTTCGCCGCCGACCACCCGCTGGTGTTTGTGTCGCACCAGTGGCTGTCGGCCAGCCACCCCGACCCTCACTCGCAGCACTACCCCATCATCCTCGAGGCGGCCGAGGCGCTCTGCGCGGAGCACGGGCTCGACCCGAGCAAGCTGCACCTCTGGCTCGACTACCACAGCAGTGAGCGCGCCGGCCCACACCCCTCCTACTGGCGGGCCCCCTGTTCTCCTTCGGCCACCCTGACCGCGCTGCCCGCGCTGCCCGCCGCCGCAGTCCCACAGGCCAACGAGGCGACCAAGTGGCTCGCGATCGGCTCCATCGCCCTCTACGCCGCCTGCTCGCACTTCTTCGTCGTCGCGGCGCCGCACGCGCTGCACGTCGACTCGAGCCCTCCGCGCCGGGTCGACGCAGAGACGTACCTGCGGCGCGGCTGGTGCCGGCTCGAGCAGGTGACTCCATGGCCTTCCCTTCCCACCCCCTTTGCCCTCATCGACCGACGGACCCCCCCCCCCCCCCCCTCACCACCACCACACGCAGTGGGCCTTCATCGCGATCAACGGCACACAGCAAATGTACGTGTATGAGACGTCCCTCGCGCGCATCGCGGAGCGGCGGCGGTGGATCGAGGAGTCGGTCAACGTCTTTCAGGGCGACTTCACGCTCGAGTCGGACAAGGCGCACCTCGTCGACGTGGTGCTCGGGCTATACGGGCTGGCCGTCGTCGCCGCCATCGAGCTGCGCTACCGCTCCGTCCGCGCCACGTCCGTCTCGAGCAGCGGCGGAGAGGCCCGCGTCACCGCCGTCGGCTCGCGCGCGACTCGCACGTCGCAGGAGGTCTCGTCGCGTCAGCTGACAGAGCTCATCACGGAGAGGCGCGATTTCATCTTCCCTCCGGAGCACTTTGGCGACCTCGTTGACCGGCTCGAGGAGGAGCTCGAGAACGCCGCGCTTGAGCGGTTCGGCTCCGAGGCGGGCGTGAGGACCCCCTCGCCGGTGCGGTGCGCCGGACACGCGGCCTCCGAGACCTTCCGCGCGGCGCTGACCGCGCGACGCACGCTGCAGCACATCTTCCCGCCCCTCGTCAACGGCGGCCGCCGCTCCGGGTGCGAGGCGCAGCCCTCGTCGCTGTCTTCCGCCGCCGGGACCAGGCGGTGGGGGTCACACACCTCGTACGCCTCCTCCCCGGGGGTCGAGCTCGTGGGCAGACCGCCCTCGGCCTTGAGCCCAACCACCAAGGTGAGGGCGAGCGGCGACGGGCCGCGGCGAGCCAGCCACTGCGCGGCCAGCCAAGCCACCCGCTACGCCGCCTCGCCGCCCCGCCGCGTCTCGTTTGTCGACCCGCCGCCGCCAACGGGGGGGAGGCGGAGCTGCGGCGCGGCGCCTCCGCCGGTGCAAGTGCCACCTCCGCCGCGGCGCTTCAGCCTCGGCTTCGCCGGCCTCGCCGGCCTGCCGCCGCTGCAGGGCATGAGCGGCAAGCCGCAGGAGCGGCGCAGCTCGGGGACGGCGCGCCAGCTGGCGCCGATGGCTCCCGTCTCCGAGCGGCGCTCGCTCTCACGCCCCTCGCACGCGCGGTCGCAGTCTGGCACGGGGTGGAGGTGCCCGCCCGCCACGGGAGGGACGGTCGCCGAGGGCGACGACCGCAGCAGTCGGAGATCGAGCACGGCGATGGACGTCGTGACGACGTGACGCACCGGGGCTGTGTGCGTCATCAACTCATCAATACGAGAAGAGGGAGGGAGCGTTGTGTGTGTCAGCATTCTAGCATAGTGTGAGATATCGTGCCGTGGAGAGTTGTGTGTCTTTGTGTGTGTGTGTGCGTGCGTGGTGTGTGTACGGTAGGCGAGAGAGAGCCGGCGTGAGACTACGTACAGCGCGTACAGTATTATATCGGGAATGCGAATGGCGCGCTCTAGTGGAAGGCGGGCGAGAAGGAGGGTCGCGGCGTCTACCGGTTCGCCGACGGCGACGTCTACGACGGCGAGTGGAAGGCTGGCAAGTACGAGGGGCGCGGCGTCTACTGGTGCGCCAATGGCGACGTCTATGAGGGCAAGTACAAGGCGGGTAAGCCGAAGGGGCGCGGCGTCTACGGTGCAGATCAACGGCGTGACGGCGGTCACGCCGACAAACGATGGGCGGCGACTACTGACGGGCGGTGCCGATGGCAAGGTGCGCGTGTGGGCCGTCTCCAAGGCGCAGCAGGTGATGGTCGCCTCGATGCAGGAGCACAAGGGGCCAATCTTTTCGATTGCAATCCGCGCCAACGACTCGGAGTGCGTCTCGGCGTCGGCGGACGGCTCATGCATCGTGTGGGCACTTGCTGGCCTCACGCCCTACACGCGAGTGGGAGTGCTGTTCGCGCCGCAGTTCTTTAAGTGGCTCGGCTGACCGGCGGGTCAAGCTATGGTCCTATGACGAGGGTGTGGCGTACTGCGTCGGCAACGCGCACTCGAGTGCAGTCGCCGCCATCAAAATCTCCCCGGACGAGCAGACGGTGGTGTCGGTCGGCAGGGAGGGCGGAATCAACATCTGGAGGGTGCCAGAGGGCATGGGCGCGGCGTGAGGGGGCAGCGCGAGGAATCGAGGGATGGGGGGGGTAGCCTTTGGGACGAGCAGCTCGGCAGCCCCATGATGCAGGAAAGTCGGGAAAGTGAGCTGATGGAGGGCGCGGGCGTCTGTGTGGTCTCTATGAGGAGATCGGGGGCAACGCAATAACAACTCGCTCACACCAAAGCTAATGCTTGTGACCTCATTGAGGTTTCCGCATCGGCGGCCATGTGTCTCCCACACACTCCCACAGACACACGAGCGGCGCCCGGCGCGCGGCGGCGCCGGCGGCCCAGCGAGCGAGCATCGCAAAGTCCAAAGAGGCCGCGTCCACGCATGCTTTTGCGAAAGGGCGCCAAAGGGTTGTTCCTCAGGCGCCGCCCTTCTTTTTAGCTCGGATACGACGATACGAATTTGTTGCCGCCCACAGCCCCGCGCGCCAGGCCTGTGTCGAGCTCGAGGCGAGCCCCTGTCTGCTGTGGGAGAGAGTTTTGGTTGCTAAATTCTTTTAGCAGTGCCAGTGCGCGCCAGTCCCGTGCCCAGTGTCGTGCGAGGGAGTTTTGTTGTAAAATTATTTTAGCAAGGACCAGGGCGGGGCGGGGCCGGGGCGGATGGGGAGCTGGGATGCGGTGGGGCGGGTGTCGGAGGACGGTGGCTTTTGTGGCGAGGACGACGGCCTAGGAAGCCTTCGTCTGACATTATTTTTGAATCGTTCGTGCGACCGAACATCTTTCGTTTCTTTTTGCTAGACAAAATTCTTTTTGCTAAAGGGACCGGGCGCTGGCATACCAGGGGGGGCAGGGTGGTGGGTGGCGACCACCGCATACCGTCCTACGGCGGGGACTATCGCTACGCCAGGGAAGATAAGGACGTTGACGTGCAGCAGCTGCTGTTTGAGTCGTTCGACGGGTTCGGGAATGGGGTCCGTGAGATCCTCCGGAAGGCGGCGGACGTGCTACAGAACAAGCTGACGCGGGCCCAGTACCTCGATGAGGTGACTTGGACCACTAAGAATTGGCTCTGTGTGTGAGTTGCACAGGGGTGGTGCGCCGGGCCCTCCTGGCTGCTCGGCTCCAGCGAGTAGACATAAGTGTTGGGGTAGAAGGGTCTGGCCTCGGGGCCGATTCGACCAAGCGCTTGTGCGTGGTTTATACCACACATCCACGGTATACAGTGTGCTGCTGCTAGCTGGCAGTCGCCCCCCGAGCAGTGTCGCTTCGCGGCTCGCGCGCACATGCCACATCTCCACATCGCCACGCGTGTGGAGTGCGGGCACTGCGCAAGGGGGGCCGACCCTCGCGTCTCCACGTCTAGACGACAGGAGCCCCACGGCAAAGTGCAAGGCCCAGTGCGCGTGGGTGATCGGTGTGTGTGTGTGTGTGTGTGTGTGTGTGTGTGTGTGTGTGTGTGTGTGTGTGTGTGTGTGTGTGTGTGTGTGTGTGTGTGTGTGTGTGTGTGTGTGTGTGTGTGTGTGTGTGTGTGTGTGTGTGTGTGTGTGAGTGGCTAGGCACAGTCATCAGTCTGGGGTCTGGGGTACGAGGCCGCCCGCTATGGCATTCCCTGTCTATGGCTGTATTTCTAATTGGGACACTAAAATAATTCGGCTCCTCTCGACACTGCTCACTGGCGAGGTGTGAACGGCCCCGCAGAACGGCCGAACCCCCCCCCCGCCGGTCTCGCGAGCACATGCCACATGGTGCTGAAGTCTCGAAGACGTCCTGCTGCGTCGAGACCGGTCAACTCTAGGGAGGGATGGGCCAGTCCGCGCTCTAAACGAATTCTTGTGCGATAAAATTCTTTTTGTGACATGCCCGCCGGGCAAGTGAGCTCGGGCGCGGCAGCGGCAGCTGTGGTCGCGCCGCTGCTCGGCCAGCGAGTCGAGCTCGGCGGGCTCTCCTCCCGCCCCGAGCTCAACGGGCAGCGGGGCGTGGCGCGGAGCTTCGAGGGCGGCCGGTACGCGGTGGCGCTCGAGGGCGGCGGCGAGAGCGTGCGGGTGCGGCCGAGTAATCTGTCGCCGGCTGCGGCGGAGTGGGCGTCGAGCGGTGTCGTGGCAGCCCCCGATGCGGTCATCGCAGCGGCTCATCGAGGCGAGGAGGCGGCGGTGCTGGCGTGGCTCGAGGGCGGAGGGCGGGCCGACGCGACGTACGAGAGAGGCGAGGTGAGCGGCCTCATGCTGCTGATGGGCGCCGCCGGCCACGGCCAGGAGCGGATGGTCGAGTTGCTGCTCCGGCACGGCGCGGAGATCAACCTGCAGAGCAGCGACGGCGGTACCGCGCTGACGTACGCCGCTCGCGGCGGCCACGAGCGGGTGGTCGACCTGCTGATTCGGCACGGCGCGGAGATCAACCTGCAGAGGAGCGACGGCGGTACCGCGCTGATGGCCGCCGCCTTCCAAGGCCACGAGCGGGTGGTCGAGCTGCTGATTCGGCACGGCGCTGAGGTCAACCTGCAGGACAGCAGAGGCGGCACCGCGCTGATGTTCGCCGCCATCAGCGGCCACGAGCGGGTGGTCGACCTGCTGATTCGGCACGGCGCGGAGGTCAACCTGCAGAGGAGCGACGGTGGTACCGCGCTGATGCGCGCCGCCGACAGAGGCCACGAGCGGGTGGTCGAGCTGCTGATTCGGCACGGCGCGGAGATCAACCTGCAGAGCAGCAACGACGACACCGCGCTGATGAACGCCGCCTTCCAAGGCCACGAGCGGGTGGTCGAGCTGCTGATTCGGCACGGCGCGGAGGTCAACCTGCAGAGGAGCGACGGTGGTACCGCGCTGATGCGCGCCGCCGACAGAGGCCACGAGCGGGTGGTCGAGCTGCTGATTCGGCACGGCGCGGAGATCAACCTGCAGAGCAGCAACGACGACACCGCGCTGATGAACGCCGCCTTCCAAGGCCACGAGCGGGTGGTCGAGCTGCTGATTCGGCACGGCGCGGAGGTCAACCTGCAGAGGAGCGACGGTGGTACCGCGCTGATGATCGCCGCCCTCTATAACCACCCCGCCGTCGTGCGGCGCTTGCTGCGGGCGGGCGCTGACACGACGCCTACCTTTGACGGCAAGACGGCGCTGCAGATGGCCAAGGAGAAGGGCCACGCCGAGTGCGTAAAGGTCTTGGCTAAGGCTGAGGCGGCGGCTGAGAAGGTGGCGAAGGAGGCGGCGTGGGTTGCGGGGGCGGAGGCGAGGGAGGCGGAGAGAGCGGCGGCAGAGGCGACTGCGGCGCGGCATGCCGAGGCGCTGCTGGCGGAGGAGGAGGCGGAGAAGGAGGAGCGCGCCAAGGAGAGCAAGAAGGGCAAGAAGAAGAAGAAGAAGAGCGGCGGCGGCGAGGCAGACAACGCGGCGCCTGGCCCCAGCGCCACCGCCGCTTTGCAGCCGCCAACCCCACCGCCAGCCCCATCTCCTCCGCCCGCCGACGCAGCCGCCATCGCTGCGGCGGACGAGGCGCTGCAGCAGGCCGTGGCCGCTGGCTCATACGAGGGCGTGGCCAGCGCGCTGGAGGCGTGCAGCGGCCTCGCGAGCCCGGCCGTGCTGGCGGCGGCGAGGCGCGCGCGCGACAAGTTCAAGGAGGCGCGGAGACGGGACAGCCAGCGGCTGCGCAAGGCGCATGGCGCGGCGATGGGCGCGCTCAAGTCGCTCGACACAGCGGACAGCCCCTCCGCGCTGCGTGCAGGCATCGCCGCCGCCAGGCTGCACGTGGGCGTGCTGCCTGCGTTGGCCGAGGAGATGAGCGCGGCGGAGTCGATGCTGGAAACTCTGTCTGTCGCTTCCGAACCGGCGGAAGCGGCGGAAGAGGCGGTTGTTGCTCGGCCAGTCGAGATAGCTCTGTCGGACCTCACCGCGGCGACGGACGGGTTTGCAGAGGGCAAGCTGATTGGCAGCGGCGGCTTCAGCCACGTCTACGAGGCGTCGGCCGACCTCCACCTCTCCCTCGCCGCGCCTCCGCAGCTGCGCCACTTGCCGCTCGTCGTCAAGCGGGCAAAGTCGGGCCAGTCGGGCGGCTTGTCGCGGGCGGAGCTCGAGGTGAAGCTTCTCAAGGCGGTGAGCCACACGCACTTGCTGCCGCTGCTCGGCTACTGCCTCTCGCCCGATGGCGTCTGCCTCCTCTCGCCGCTGATGCGCGGCGGCTCGCTCGAGGCGCGGCTGCGCCTCTCGGATCCCGACCGCGCTGCGCAGCTCCGGCGGCTGGGGATGGTAGAGCCGCCGAGGCCGCTGACGTGGCGGCAGCGCGTTCGCATTGCTTGCGAGGCGACCGAGGCGCTCGTCTACCTCCACTCAAAGGACATCGTGCACCGCGACGTCAAGCCGGACAACATCCTGCTCGACGAGAAGCTGACCGCCGTGCTCGCCGACACGGGCTTCGCCAAGGACCAGCGTCCCGACGCGTCTGTCCGCTACCGCTCGACTGCTCTCTACATGTCCACTGGCTACCTCTGCCCCTCCATCTCCAAGGGGGGCGAGTATTCGAGCAAGACCGACGGCTACGCCATCGGGATCACCCTCCTCGTCTGTCTCACCAACCGCTCCGAGGTGCAGCTCACCGACCGGTGCGAGGACGAGTTTGACGGACTCTGGACCAACATCGACGCGTCGCAGATCGCAGATGCGGCGGCAGGGTGGCCTGAGTCCGCGGCGCGCGCTGTCAAGGACCTCGCCAAGGCGGGAGACGGGCAGAAGAGCCTCTGTCACGACAGCCTGCGCAACCGCTGCACGCTGCCCGAGGCGCTGCTTGCGCTCCGGGGGCTGCTGTGTGGCGCGCAGGGCGGGGCGGGGGTGGAGGAGGCTGCGCCGGCACCTGGAGACGAGGCCGCTGCGGCAGCCGCCCGCACCACCGGGTACGAGCCTTCGCCGCTCTCGGTGCAGGTGCGCGGCATGCGCACGGGCGGCGACGCGCAGGCGCGCATCCAGGGCAACATGCTGCTCGCCTTCAACACGCTGATGCCGCGCCTCGACGCCGTCTACGCCTCGCGCTCTGCGGCGGCGCCCGACGGCTTCGAGGAGCGCATCAACTTTTGGCACCGCGA